AACAATTCATTTATCACTCCCTCCATTTCTGGTGTCCCTCGCCGTGATATTGCTGGAATATTGCTAAAAGTGGCGTAAAACAATACACACTCACTTCATCTCCATCAGATTACCTGGAACGGAAATTAGGTGAGATATATACTAAACAACATACAGATGTTATCTTTCTCCGGGGTTGCCAAATATGTACAACATGCAACTAATGTGGTGTCGTATTTTCAGTAATTTCATTACATTTGAAAATAAGGCTCGATCTCTGTTAATAATGATGAAACGTTAGTCAAAATACATCTCCAAAATCAAGAGAGTTTGGGAATCTAAGAACTAATTTCTAGGTAGATAGCACCATCCATTTAGCTATTACCTCCTTTCTCATGAGCGATTTCCTAATTCATTATAATTTGTGATACTACCAAAACGTATCCGGTTACAATGTGGATTTTGTATTGAAACAGATTGGCTCATCGTGTATATGTTTGTGTGTGTGTGTGTGCGTGCGCTCGCTTTCGTACGTGCGTGCGTGTGTCCTCTCTGTTGTCGCTTGACGTCAGAGGAAAATCAACTTTCGTCAACAAGCCATTTTTCACATTGAACGTAGAAAGTTATACATAAGCATACAAATCAATTTCATATATTGTTATGTAGTTCAGATATCACGAAGTATTTTATTCGCACAAAGTTTCATTAAAGATTCCAAATAAAGAAATCATCACGTTGTAAACGGAGACATTTACTGCTTATCAACGCATAATAAAATTGCGGACAACCTTTAACAAAGTCTACTTTCCAAATCGCCTGTGTATTTGTGCTTCAAATTTACATCATCGGATAGGAAATTTAATACTCTACATATCTGTGTTATAGCCGTAGCTAGAAGCAGTGCATCACTAACGCAATTCTCGCTCAACGTTCATTTTTCAGAACTTCAGAGAAAATAAACCTCTGCTTCCAGGGGGTTAAGTCTTCTGTGCACTACGTTGTACATAAATACATTAAGTGTGATTCACCCAAATCACGAGCGCGCGAAACGGGAGGCGAGAGAGAGTATTGCCTACCGCTAATGAAGAACGTCCTCCGATACGGACTATAGAAATTTGGCGCATGCGCACAACATGTCAACATGTCAGCTCGCTATCGTTGAAACAAGAACTCAACGGGTTTCAGGCCCATTAATATCTAAATGTATGATCACCAAAATATGACAGTTACGTGTATGTATAGGCAAATTATCTGGGAGTACATCGATATCGACTTTTCAGTCAAAAACCCACAGGAAATATATTTAAAAAATCTCAAGAAAATACGAGGGGTAATCGGCCACTAGAATCTGAATAGGATTTATGAAGGTGGTGTTCTCGGCCGTGATGCAGGGTCATGTCTTGACTGTATAGGACCGCATCGCGGCTCTCGGCTAAGCCTTCAGTAACATTTACTCTTTGAGTTGTTTCTCATTCGTTCGTAATCGTCGGTATCTATCATGTTACCGTTCGCTTAGCCGAGAGCCGCAATGCGGTCTCCATGCGGTCAAGATATGGGTCTCTCGACTACCATTCGGTATCTTCACTATAGGCGCTTCTGTGACCAAAGCAATGCTTCCCCTACAACGATGTTGTATCAGTCGTGTGCCACTGTTCCGAAGGACGAAAGTAATTACATAGGAGAAATGCAAACGGAGAAATGCACTTCGGCGAGAATGGATTAGTACAGTGGGCCCCTTCCGCCATATTCTGTTATTCGCAGCATCCGTCATTTATATGATTATTTTGAGGGGTGAAATACATGCATTAAACCGGACACCTACCTACCAGATTGAACTTTTTAAATCTATATTGTGCGTAGTTAACATCATCATATTAATTTAGTGATGAGTGCTCAATGAACCTTTTGTTAGGTCCCTAACATTAAACCTCCCAAAATATTTCTTATAACGGACTAATGAAAAGTTCCCTAAATAAAATGCATTGACCACTGCGAATAATAGAATAAGGTGTCTGGTATAATGCAGTTTTACCTGAGGGGTTTAGGGTTACGGTTAGAATACTAATCCAATAAGGTAGGTAGGTGTTCAGTGTAATGCACGTGTGCCAGCACTTCAACAGCTGGTACACGTGCTGGAACACGTTTAGGATGATATGAGAGATTTTCATAGCACAACGCCTTTCCATATCCAGTAGGAAGCTTAAATATACTGAACCGCAAAATAAACGCGAGTTACTATTTTCAAAACATACGTTCCAAATGCATGCGTGCATTTCACTCCAATGTGAAGCTTTATAAGGCAGATCATTCAAAAAACACCATAGAACACAAAATTTACTGTGACAACGCGGAGAAAACATGCCAGGTCTAACTGAACAGCAACGAGGAATCGCCGTTGGAATGTTGCAGACCGGATCCACACCAACTGCAGTGGCCAGGCACTTCAGATGTCACGTGACAACAATCACAAGACTATCCGCAAGGTATCGTCAAACCGGTAATGTTCGAGACCGACCACGTTCATGACATCCCAGGGTAACAACGCCAGCGCAAGATCGTCACATCCGGGTTACTCATCTGCATAACCGACAGCAACGAGCAACACAGACAGCTGCAACCATTCAAGGGCCACAACGTCACATCTCTGCAGACACTGTTTGTCGTCGTCTGAGGGCAGCAGGGATCAGATGTCGCCGTCCTTACGTCGGACCGATTCTGACGCAACGTCAACGCCAAAATCGTTTACAGTGGGTGCGACAACAACAGCGTTGGCAACGTCAACAATGGCAACAAGTGTTGTTTTCTGATGAGTCCAGATTCAACTTGTCCCACACCGATGGCCGATTACGTGTATGGAGACGACGTAATGAACGTTACGCCAACTGTTGTGTTGTGGAAACTGACCGCTGGGGAGGTGGAAGTCTCATGGTATGGGGTGGCTTCAGCTACCACCATAGAACACGTTTACACGTGTTTCGTCAACGTGTGACTGCTGTAGTCTACAGAGACCAGGTCCTTCAACACCACGCTGTACCGCTATTCCAGGCCCAACCTCAGCTCCAGACGTTCCAGCAGGACAATGCTCGTCCTCACACTGCACGGGTCTCTATGGACTTCCTCAGAGGGAACAACATTGCTGTACTGCCCTGGCCCTCTCTGTCCCCGGATATGGCACCAATCGAGCATGTGTGGGGTGAAATTGGTAGACAGATACAGACAGCTGCTCAACCTCAAAACCTTAGAGATTTGGAAGCCAGATTGGTCAGGGAATGGAATCAAATTCCCCAAGCCTTCTTTCAGACACTTGTTGACTCGATGAGACGTCGTTGTGCTGCCTGCTTGCAGCCAATGGAGATCACACGCGCTACTGATTGACACACTGTTTCGTGACATTTTTGGTGTGTGAGGGTGGAGTGATAACATATGCTTTTACAGTAAACTTGAGTGTTGTTTTCACCAGAGATCACGACTCATTTCTTCAACAATCACTTGTCTGTTGTTTTTTCATAGTGTTAAGATTGTTTGTTCCACAGATTCAGATATATTGACATTTCTAAATCAACTTTCGTTTCTTTTGCGGTTCAGTATATAAATTGTGCACATATTATTTTTCATGGTGACATGAACAGACATTTCATTACAAAGACATGTCGTTGAAAATCACATGTTTAAAACTTGTATTCTCAGGAAAGGTTCTGTCGCTGGATCTAAAGAACCGGAAACCGGTGATCTAATGAAAGAACTCGTTGATGGAACACTGGAAATAGTTTCCAAATGGTTTGGAGAATCATCAAAAACCAACAAAGCAGTCTCATACATGTTGTGAAAGCCTGGAAACATTTTTGAAATCAGGTTACTAGAAAAGGTCCATGCTCTGTCACAGTGGAATCTAGACTCGGAGAGCTGAATGTCGGAAAACATTCCAACTATCAAATAATCTTCAGACATACATGAAGAAATCAAACCCTATGAATTTTTTGAATGTGGGAAAAAAAAATGCAAGATGAGATACGCTTCAGGTACATATGCAGATTCACGTTGAACGTAAGAAACAATGAACATTCACTCACACATGAGGATGCACAGTGGAATGAAGCCCTATTAATGTGTTGAATGTGGGAAAATATTTACACAATCAGTTAACATGCAGACATATATGAAGATCCATAGTGGAATCCAACCTCAACAGTGCATTGTGTGTGAGAAATCATTTACATACTTATGTGACGTACAGAAACACATGAGGATTCACAGTGGAATCAAGCCTTATGAATGCGTTGAATGTGGGAACAAATTTACACGATCAGGGACTCTGAAGACACACATGAAGATTCATAGTGGAATCAAACCTCATAAGTGCATTGTGTGTGAGAAATCATTTACATACTTATGTGACCTACAGACACACATGAGGATTCACAGTGGTATCAAGCCTTATGAATGTGTTGAATGTGGGAAAAAATTTACACGATCAGGTACTCTGAAGACACACATGAAGATTCATAGTGGAATCAAACCTTATGAATGTGTTGAATGTGGGGGAAAATTTACACAATCAGGGACTCTGAAGACACACATGAAGATTCACAGTGGAATCAAACCTCACCAGTGCATTGTGTGTGAGAAAACATTTACACAATTACGTTATCTGCAGACACACATGAGAATTCACTGTGGAATCAAGCCTTATCAATGTGTTGAATGTGGGAAAAATTTTACAAAATCAGGTCATCTGCAGACACACATGAAGATTCACAGTGGAATCAAACCTTATGAATGTGTTGAATGTGGGGGAAAATTTACACAATCAGGGAATCTGAAGACACACATGAAGATTCACAGTGGAATCAAACCTCATCAGTGCATTGTGTGTGAGAAATCATTTACACACTTGCATGTCCTACAGACACATATGAGGATTCACAGTGGAATCAAGCCTTATCCATGTGTTGAATGTGGGAAAAATTTTACAAAATCAGGTCATCTGCAGACACACATGAGGATTCACAGTGGAATCAAACCTTATGAATGTGTTGAATGTGGGGGAAAATTTACACAATCAGGGACTCTGAAGACACACATGAAGATTCACAGTGGAATCAAACCTCATCAGTGCATTGTGTGTGAGAAATCATTTACACACTTACATGGCCTACAGAGACACATGAGGATTCACATTGGAATCAAGCCTTATGAATGTGTTGAATGTGGGAAAACATTTACACTATCAGGTACTCTGAAGAAACACATGATGATTCACGCAGGAATCAAACCATATGAATGTGTTTAATGTGGGAAAAATTTTTCACGATTATATAATCTTAAGGTACATAGGCAGATTCACAGTGGAGCAAAACATTATGCATGTGTTGAATGTGGGAAACAAATCACATGGTCAGATGGTCTGCAGATACACATGAAGATTCACAGTGGAATCAAACCTTATCAGTGCATTGTGTGTGAGAAAACATTTACACAGTCACGTAATCTGCAGACACACATGAGGATTCACAGTGGAATCAAGCCTTATGAATGTGTTGAATGTGGGAAAAAATTTCACAATCATGTATCCTTAAGGTACATAGGGAGATTCACAGTGGAGCAAAATATTATGTATGTGTTGAATGTGGGAACAAATTCACACAATCAGGTAGTCTGCAGACACACATGAAGATTCACAGTGGAATCAAACCTCATCAGTGCATTGTGTGTGAGAAATCATTTACATACTTATGTGACCTACAGACACACATGAGGATTCACAGTGGAATCAAGCCTTATGAATGTGTTGAATGTGGGAAAAAATTTACACAATCAGGTAATCGGAAGAGACATATGAGGATTCACAGAGGAATCAAGTCTTATGAATGTGTTGAATGTGGGAAATGTTTTACACAATCAGGGAGTCTGGAGACACACATGAAGATTCATAGTGGAATCAAACCTCATCAGTGCATTGTGTGTGAGAAATCATTTACATACTTATGTGACCTACAGACACACATGAGGATTCACAGTGGAATCAAGTCTTATGAATGTGTTGAATGTGGGAAAAAATTTTCACGATCATCTTATCTTAAGGTACATAGGCAGATTCACAGTGGAGCAAAACATTATGCATGTGTTGAATGTGGGAAATAATTCACACGGTCAGGTAGTCTGCAGACATACATGAAGATTCACAGTGGAATCAAACCTCATCAGTGCATTGTGTGTGAGAAAACATTTACACAATTACGTTATCTGCAGACACACATGATAATTCACAGAGGAATCAAGTCTTATGAATGTGTTGAATGTGGGGGAAAATTTACACAATCAGGGACTCTGATGACACACATGAAGATTCACAGTGGAATCAAACCTCATCAGTGCATTGTGTGTGAGAAAACATTTACACAATCAAGTAATTTGCAGACACACATGAGGATTCACAGTGGAATCAAGCCTTTTGAATGTGTTGAATGTGGAAAAACGTTTACAATGTCTTGTACTCTTCAGAAACACATGAGGATTCACAGTGGAATCAAGCAGTGAAGATAACTGTGTTGGACTAGGGAAAGGATGTACACCTTCAGACACCCTGTGGAAACACATGAGTAGTCAAAGTGGAACTCCGTCTGATCCATGTGTTGAATGCGGGAAAACATTTGCACTGTCAGATGCTCCTAGCCAGTTAACGCGTCAGAGGATTTCCAGTAGAATCAACTGATCATTGATTTTTACCAGCATGTATATTTTACACTGCATATATATCTTCATACACGTTTATATTTTTCACAAATTATTCTTAACAAGGGAAGTCAATGTATGTGCAAGTGGCTGTGCATAATATTTCTTGTTCATGGCCCCGCATTTCCAACGCAGCAGTAATAAACTAGGAAGCGCGTCCACGCCAACCATTAACTATTTAATCGAAGATAAAGTTAATCCGCTGTGTCGGTACTGGACTTTCTTCTCGGGTACATCCCTTGATCAATTGCAGACAAGTATTCCCATCCCAGCAGGTGCATGTTTTACCACCAGCTAAGTTGTAATAATCGAAAATCAACTTTTGTTGACCAAGATTTTGTCGTTAATGCCATGGCCAAGCGCTGACAGAAAGTTTGTTAGCAGCTGGCGCAAGTTGACAGTGGCTACACTATAAAAATGATCAAGTCTTCTTAGGTAATTGCCTTCTTACCACCTACCTCATGTTGTAAACTTTGTGTCATCGTGCATCTGGAAACTTTAGAGAAATTTGTTAACGATAAACGAGTAGAGCTGGGAGGTGTAAAATCTTGGGTTTTCCATCTCAGGCACACTTGCTTGAATAAACCCAAGGAACTCACATCTCTCTTTTCTTTTTTCAAGGTAAGAAACATTTAAACTTTATTCTTGTTCATGTCTGACTTGTTATTTCTTTGTAAATATCGTTTAGAACATGCCAGAGTTAGGTTTGGCACATTCCTACGATACTGAATACTGAAGCACTCTTCGAAATACCTGCCATTGTAAATGCTAGTTCAAAATAACTGTTTCTGTAAGCAGTTACCGTACATACTCTGTTATGCTATACATTGCTTATATTACCTGACTTAGATTGAAATTGTAATAGGATATCAATGATTACTTTTGTATGTCATTATTATGTATGAATTGATGCATTTGGAATGGCATGTTAGACACTTGCTTGAATAAACCAAAGGAACCCACAGCTCTCTCCTTTCTTGTTTCAAGGCTTGCTTCTAACAGCTAATATCGTCTCATAAATTTTACATTGAGGAAAATGGGTAGAATGAGTAGAGAGAGAGGACGCCTTTCATTTTCATAATAATGAGATGTGTGTGTGTGTGTAGTGTGTACATATGTTTGCATGTTTGTGTCTGTCTGTCTGTCTGTCTGTCTGTCTGTCTGTCTGTCTGTCTGTCTGTCTGTATGTATGTATGTATGTATGTATGTATGTTTGTATGTATGTATTATTAATGTATGTATGTATGTATGTATGTATGTATGTATGTATGTATGTATGTATGTATGTATGTATGTATGTATGTATGTATGTATGTATGTATGTATGTATGTATGTATGTATGTATGTATGTATGTGTCTGTATGTATGAGTGTGTCTGTATTTCTGTATTACAGAAAAAAAGACAACTGTATTACAGAAAAAAGACAACTGCGAACACCACACGGTTTACAAATGTTGCCTTCTCTGATAGAAATGATTTACGGAGAAAGATTGTGGTCTGTCTAGTGTTTAGGTTATAACTGTAGTTAAATGCAACAAGCATTTTTAAGAAGCAAAACATCTCAAGAAAGACGGCCATCTCTCTGGATAGAGATGGCCTTGAGGAAATCGTCAACCATACCACAGTAGTTCCATCCCCCAGTAGATCTCCCAACTGTCGATTAACAATCGCCCAGGAGTTCTACATCATCAAATACTCACACACCCCCCCACCCCCATCCCCATCCCCTTCATTGTCAAACATTCACCCAGATGTTCCACCAAGTATTGATCATCAGCCAGTTGTTTTCCCCCACTGTCGATCATCATGGACAGTACCACCAACTGTCGATAATCCCTAGTCAAACACACACGCACACGCACGCACGCACGCACACACACACCACACACACAGGTATTAAAAAAATAAAAATAAAATAAAATAAAAAATAAAATAAAGAAATCGAAAAAAAATACAAACAAGATATAAGAAAAAAACCCACAGAGACAAACACACTGTAGTGCAACTACTGGGTGATGATCGATGCTCGGTGGAAATACTGGGTATCGATGGTTGAACTGCTGGATGATTATTGACGGTTGATGGTACTACTGGGTGATGCTCGATGGTTCAGGGAAATTTTGGATGGTGATGAGGAGGAACTCTAGTGGATTATGATCAACAGTGGCTGGAACTACTGGGTACTGATCAACATTCAGGAGAACATCAAGATGATGACAGGCGATTGTTGGAACTCCTGGGTGATGATTGACGGTTGTTGGAGCTCCTGGGTGATGATCAATACTTGGGGGACCTACTGGGTGATGATCAACAATGGGGAAAACAACTGGATGATGATCAATGTTTTGTGTAACTGTTGAATCTTGATCGAATATAGGGACAACAAGTGTGTGATGATCAACAATGGGGACAACTGCTGTGTGATGGTCGACATTGGGGGTAACATCTGGTGATGATTGACAGTGTGTTTGTGTCTGAGTGTGGGGGGATTACTGGGTGATGATTGACAGTTGGTGAAACTGCTGGGTGATGATCGACACTTGGGAAACTAATGGGTGATGATCGACAGTGTTGAGAACTACTGGGTCATGATCGATAGCAGTTCTCCACACAGTCGATCATCACACACCAGCTCCACTACCGTCGATCATCGACCATCAGTTCTAATAAATATCGATCATGATCCAGTGCTCTAACTGTTCATTTCCAGTCATGTCCACGTTCGCAGCATCATGTCCACTTGTGTGTGAAATGAACAGCTGGCGTTGAGTGTTCTTGTTTTCGGGTTTTTATCTGTTGTGACCTGTTTATCTGCAGGATTGATAAATTTATTATCCTTACATTCTGTAAGGGGCGGTAATCAATTGCACCATTCCAGACACTAACATTATTTTTATTATTATTATTATTATTATTAGTAGTAGTAGTAGTAGTAGTAGCGCTCGTCAGTTTCACCTGAGTTGTACCTTTCGAGCACCGTCGTCCCTTAATTTCCTCCCTCATCAAGCTGATTTACCTGGTATTACTACAATATTATTCAAAACAACGTTTCTCACGCAGCAAAAATGAACACAAAGCTACAAGTTATGCAGTAAATACACAAGAAGGCGCTATACTCACGGGCAAAAAACCCGACCAAGACTCGTAATATCATGTACACCCGTGTGTGAAATAAACGTGTTCATCTGTTCCGGCCTGTTGATTAACTATGTCATGTCTTTTCAGTGAGTGGGTGAGTAAGTTTACTCTTACTCAGCTTTTAGCAATATTCCAGCAATGGCACGACTGGGGACACCAGAAATGGGCTTCACACATTGTATCCATGTGGGGAATCGAACCCGGGTCATCGGCGTGATGAGCAAACACTTTAACCACAAGGCTACCCCACCACCCCAGTCTTATCCGTCTCAGCTGTTATATCAGGGAGTCCATAACGTGGACGAGCACACTGCGACCAGAGGTCACGGCGTACCCAATAATCGATGAAGTTGTCTCCCGTACCTGATGACAGGATCCCCCTTATGAAACGTTTTACATATCATTAATTTGGGCTTGACTGAAAAAGGAAGAAGCTTGTTACACACTTTATATACACCTAACTGAATATCCTTCCACACAGAACGTCACTTCCGGTTCGCTGCAGTACTCTGGCGACAGAGTTACGTAACCTGTCTGTGGTTTCGTTGGCGGGCGAGGGTGAAGCAAACTACTTTTTAGCAACTTTTAATCGCCCGGTATTGATTAACCACAAGTTTTTTAACGAATGAATTTGG